GGGAGGCGTTAGGTAGGGGGTGGGGGTTCGTGGAGGGCGAGTTAGGGGCAGGGGTCCCAGGAGGGGCAGTCAGGGGACAAGGAACGGGGACGGTTGGGAGTTCTGAGGGGGCGGGAAGTGGGAGGGGCAGGGGCGGGGTTAGGGCAGGACGGGGGCGGGGCTCCTCCCATCCTCTTTTTTGCTTGCTGAAATATGGTAACCCTAAATAAATGCTGAAGCTACCTCTAGGGGGCTACACCAGGAGTCCCCTTCCAGTCATAAGTCCCTACGGCTGGGCCATTCTGTGGATCCAGGGGTACCCCACAGCCTGGACTGATTGGTAGGGTTGCCAGGTGTTCGGTTTTTGACCGGCAAGCCTGGTTTTAAGGGGATCTGTTCTATCTCCAGTCTGAAGTATAGACTGGACACCAAAAGTCCGGTTACTGTAATTTTCTAGGGCTGTAACTACGGCAGTGGGAGAGGGGCAGCTGCCATTGGTGCAGAGCCTCCAGGGGGGTGCAAAAATGGGGTGGTGCAGCTCCCCCCCCCCAGCAGGATCAGGCCTGGCCACATCAGCCAGATCCCAGGGCAGAGCAGCACCTGCCAGGCAGGAAAGGGGAGCTTGGGGAGGGGTTGGTCCACCCCCAGCCAGAGGCAGGCGCCTTTGGTTCCACTTGGCCCTGGCCCCTGAGCGAGCAGGCCGCGGGCCCAGAGGAGCTGCCGCCGGGGTGAGAGAGCGGGGCCTGGCCCCTTGCTGGGCGGGAGAGGATCCCTGGAGAGAACTGCTGTAATGTCCGGTTTGGAGAAATGGAAACGTTGGCAATCCTACTGTTTGGCCCTAGGGCCAAAATGACTCAGAGTCACCAAACCAGGAGAGCAGCACATGGACTCAGCACCACAATCCACCCCGCAGGGTGGGTATTTATGGGGACTGAGTACCGCTCCTCACACACCCATGTCTGGGTGAAATTGGCAGGATCAGACAGAGAGGAAGGTCTGAGGCTAGATTAGTTTATTTTAAATGAGACGTCTAGTCCAGAAAACCTGATGACATACAAAGGACAGGAAGATGCTGACAAGTCCAGCTTGCTCCCCACGAGGAGCCCTCTCCGAGGGCCCCTGCTGCAGAGGCTCCAGGCCTTGGGCCCAGAGGGGAGTCTGTGCTATTGGTTCTGACGCCTGGACCTTGTGACCATGGCTCCAATGATCCCCAGAGTAGCCAGGCCCAGCCCTGCGACCCCCACAGTCAGCATGGTGTCCCTGACCTGCAGGACAGAAAGGGGAGCCAGTCAGCTAGCTGCCAGGGAGCCCCGGTCTGGGGACTATGTCCATGCCCACTGAGTTTACAAGGACAGCTAGTGTTCAGCAACCGTCTGTGCAGATCAGGCTGTCCGTTCGGTGGCAGAAAACAGACTGTGTTAGAGAAGCTGGAACAGCACCATCACACTCGAATAGCCTGCCCTGGGCAAGGCAGAGCACTCCCTGCTGGACACTCACCAGGCTGCTGTGTGTGGCTTTTACACTCACCTTTGTCTGGGCAGACTTCAGTCACTGTCCCTTTCCTTGGTCTCTCTGGCGCAGTTCCTGGGCACAGACTGTCTGAAGCGGGACCCTGGACCCCAGGTACCTTAGGCCCACAGTGTTCCCCTCCCTCCCCCCAAAGACACCCCAGTAGCTTATGCCGGCCCTTTCCCAGAACTCCACCTGTGGGCAGGGCACTCTGGTTTATAGTTTAAGCCTTTGGGACACATGATAGTGGAAGGCAGCAGACACAGACTTGCAGAAGGATTTTTGCAACCATTGCTGTTCAGACAGCACAAGAGATCTACGGATCCAGGTAGACCCAATGCCTACACACCATTCCCTGCCTCAGTTTCCTCACCACTGGGGCATTATTTGTCATGGACGTTTAACAGCCCCTGTTCCCAGCAGCACACAGCGGAGCCAGAGCATGGAAAAGCCCAGCGTAAGAAGAGAGGCGCCAAAGAGATGCTAGCAGTGGCCTTTCAAAGCAATGGGCTGTAGCCAAGAGGCCAGTCTGTTGCAGAACCAGGAGGCGGAGCAGGAGGGCCCTGGCTTCCCTGAACGACACTGACCAGAACCCAAGAGACTCTCAGGAGTGGGCAGGGCTCTGAGGAAGGGGATTGAGTTCAGGTGCTGGGGGTGTTTTCCACAGATCTGTAGCACTCTTGTCCTTCCCAAAAGGAGAGAGAGAGAGTGTGTGTGTGTGGTTAAGTTCCTTTGCAAAGCCTGGGTTCCTTGCTTTATCTGCAACACAGTCCCCAAAGGGTTAAATTATAAACCTGGGTGGTGCTACTGGGGTGTGTAGAGAAGCTACTGGGGAGATTTGGGGGGTTAGCACTAGTCTTAGGGCCCCTGGCAGCTGGGCACAGGAGTCCTACGACCTCAAGGAGGGGTGCCTTGCGCATGTGCCGGCAAGGCCAGGACTAGTCAGTGACTAGCCGCTGCTTGAAAACACGTGGGATCCAAAGGCTGGGCCCATGCACCAGCCTGGTGACCAATCGTCCATGAGGGGGACTAAGCCAGGCCTCTAACAGTTGCTGCACAGCACATGGAGCACATCCTCATTATATGGCTTACAGCAGCAGCTATACACTGAGATCAAGGCCCTGTTGTGCTGGGCACTGCCCAGACCCTGAGTGAGATCAGGACCCATTGTGCCAAGCACTGCATGAACCCTGACCAAGTAGGTGTGGCTGGCTTACACCAAGCCCACCCTTCAGGAAGGCAGTGACAAGCGCGAGGGGCACCTGCACGTACCTGGTCGCACATGGGCTGGCCGTAGCGCAGCTTGGTGACGAAGTGCTCACAGTTCTCACTGGTGACGCTGTACAGCATCTCTTGGCCCACCAGAAACTCGGCCTCCATGAGGATCTTGCTGACAGGCAGCGGCGAGCACCTCCAGTCATACTTGTTGTTGACTCGGTACCGGTCACCACCAGCAACGTCCCGGAGACGGTCCTTCTTCACCACGGCTCGGTCGGTCAGCACGGACATGATGCTGGAGGAGCCAGCTCCGGCATACTCACCTGGGGGTGCCAATTGTCCATCTGATCTAACCATCCATATACCACTATCTATCCCATCCGTACACCCTCTCTATCCATCCAATTTTCATACATTCCTCTCTATCCACCCATCCATCCACACACACGTCTATCCATCGTTATATGTTCCTATCTAGCCACATGTCTGTTGATGTATATAGCTGCATACACCCCCTCTAGCTATCCGTCCATCCCCAGACACACCCGTCTAGCTATCCATCCACCCTTCCGCATACCTACCCTCTCTCTCTCTCTCAGATTTCCCATAGCTCCTATCCCAGGTGGATCGGTCCCCATCACTGGGTTGGCACACGGCTCCGTGAGATTACTGTTTAGTTCTAGCAGCTGGCATTGGGTTCCACCCATCTTGCTAATGCAGGAGCCAGACTGACATTGGGTTCCCCTCTCCCATGTCACAGGACTGAAGAGCCTTGTCCCTGAAGGCAGTGGCTGGGAGTGTGACCCATGCATATGGGGCAGACCTGGGGCTGGGGGGGCATGACGGGGCCATCTGAGCGTCACTCAGGCTTCGGTGGGCAGAGGCACAGGCTGATGTTTTCACAAGCAACTAGTGATTTTTAGGGGCATCTCAATTTGTGGGGGTCCCTAGCCTGAGACACCCCATCCATCCCCACATACCAGTCTCCCCGTGTCCCTCAACCAGCTGCCTGACTTGCTGGGCCTCAGAAACTCAGGCAGCCCCAGTAAATACAGGCATCCCCCAATGACTCATGATAATCCAGGCCAGATTACACGTACCCCTGTCTGGTATGGGCCCCCTGCTTCCCCTTCCCCCACCTGAGATGCCCAGTACCTCTGCCATGCCCAGACCAACCTCCGACCCCCAGGATCAGCACCCCTCCTCCCTCACTGAGGGCCATTCCTTACTGGGGGGGGCCAGGTGGATGACGTAACCATTTCCTACATAGAGGGCCCAGTGCTGGTATCCAAAGCGAGAAATCTCTATCAGGTCCCCAGGGTTTGGTTCCTCCTGCAGGAGTGAGAGCCAAGTGAAACTGAATGCTCAGAGGAAGCCCCGATAGTACCCCCAGACTGGCTGCCCCTGAACCCTCTAACCCCCCAGATGCCCCACAAAACCCCATCACTGATTCCCACTGCCCCCAGTTAACTCCCCCTCACTCCCTCCTCTTGTCCCCTGCTGTCTGCTAACCCCCCTATGCTCCCCCACCCCCTGCTAATCCCCCCTGCCAGCTTCCCCTACCCCCGTTAACCCCCACTGGCTCCCCTTGCTACTGATAACTCCTAGCTCCCACTGCTAATCCTCCAGCTCCCCTGCTAACACCCCCATCTCTCACTTTCTCTCCACCCCGCTGGTGCCTCCCACCCCTCTGTTAAACCCACCCCTCTCTTCCCTGCTAATCTCTCCCACCAGCTCCCCCGTGCCCCACCAACCACCCTCCACTGGCCCCCACCCCACCACAGGAACCCAGGTCAGGCAGAGGAGGACATGGGAGCTAGGGAGAGCTGTCCATTTGACACCGTCCAGCTTCCCCCTAGCCAGGGGCATGGGCTCCTCTCTCCGCCCTCAGGAGACACCCGGCATCAGCGCTAGCTCCCCAGGGACTCTGAACCGCTGTCCAGCAGGAGGCACCCAGCGACCAACTCCCTGCAGCTCCTATAGGAAACTGCACCCAGAGCAGCCAGCCCAGGCATTGAGCCAAGCTCATGTTAAGAGGATGTCTGCACCGCAGCTGGCAGCGTTCCTCCTGGCCTGGGGGTAACTGACACATGCTAACTGCGCTCCAGCGAGCGTGCTAGAAATAGCAACGTGGCCATTGCAGCATGAGCAGTGTCTCAGGCTAGCCACCTGCCTCCAAGCCGCCTGACATCCTGGGGCTTTGCTTGGGTGGCCAGCCTGAGCCACCGCCCAGGCCACAAGGTCCACCCGGCTAACTTTAGCACAGGTTCTCAAGCAGAGCTAGTGCGTGTCAGGCTCCCCACTGACATCCCGAAGGGTGGTGCAGGGCCGGCTCTAGGCACCAGCAAAACCAGCTGGTGCTTGGGCCGCCCCTAAAAATGTGCCCCGGCCACCCTAACTCACCTCCGCTGCTGCCGCTCACGCGCCACTGCTCTCCCTCCCTCCCAGGCTCTCAAACCCGGGAGGGAGGGGGAGATCCCGAGTGGCCGCGGCGCACGAATCAGCTGTTTCGCGCGCCGCGGCCGCTCGGGATTGCCCCCTCCCTCCCAGGGTTGAGAGCCTGGGAGGGAGGGGGAGATCCCGAGTGGCCGCGGCGCACGAATCAGCTGTTTCGCGCGCCGCGGCCGCTCGGGATTGCCCCCTCCCTCCCAGGGTTGAGAGCCTGGG